GCATGATAATTAATGGAAGGAGGAGGGGTGGGTGGGGAAAATCAGAAAAATGTAAAACTTTGGACAGTTCTTTATGAATATTTCATACATGTGAATATAATCAGAAGTTAGCATTATCAATTTGATGTATAATACATTGATTAAAAGCCTTGTTACAGGCTCCCGAGCTAGGCGTGGGGCGTTTGAGAATTTGCATGGGTGTTCAGAAAGGCTAAAATACAGCTGAAATAAAATTAAACAATGCTTGTTCTCATCTCTCCACATCTTCCCGAGATTATTTGAGAACAATATAGCTTTCAATTATCACAATAAAATTTTACTGCTGTCAGCTCTCAAGTTATCTTCAAATGTGCCCGCGGGGAGAGTCTTAGCAAAACCAATTTATTCTGCGGTGGCCTCATTCTCCTCTAGGTGTGTTTACATCTTTTCCCCTTCGTTATAGATAGTCTCTCTCTTTTTTTCTTTTTAGCACTAATAGCATTTTAGTGAAAACTGTCATCATCATTTTCTTTAAATGAGGTTCTAAAAGTTCATAATTAATGTTGACATCCAGCTTTTTTTTTTTTTAAACAGCTTCCAAAGTCCAGGTGGATGTATCTCTGCTATCCAGGAACATATGTGGGAATTTTTTTCCCCTCCCGCAGTATAGCAAGTAAAATTTGAGGATCGGGGAATTGAAAAGCTTTTATTGATGCATCTGGGGCTTAGGCTATAGGTGGGAGAATTAAGATCACTGCAGAAAGTAAGGCAATAATAATGATCGTTTATTATTTGATTCGACGCACAGTCAGTCAGATGTCCAGGCTGGATTTGGCATTTTTGTCCACCTCTTCCCATAGTCCTGGGATAGGCATATAAATAATAATAATAATAATAATAATAATAATAATAAAGTTGGAAGGGACCTTGGAGGTCATCTAGTCCAACCCCCTGCTCAGGCAGGTAACCCTATACCATTTCGGACAAATGGCTGTCCAGTCTCTTCTTAAAAACTTTCAGTGTTGGAGCATTCACCGCTTCTGGAGGCAGGTTGTTCCGCTGGTTAATTGTTCTAAGCTGTTCCAAGGAAAGCCGTCTTTTGCAATTGACTGATGTGAATTTGTCAATGCCGATGAGATTCAAGTTGGTGCTCCAGCTGATTTGGGATTGCACCGAAGGCACCAATGACTGTTGGGTCTACCTTTGCTTTCTTTTGCCCCAGTCGTTCTATTTCTGTTTGCAAGTCTTTGTATTTTGTTACCTTCTCCAGTTCCTTCTCTTCTGTTCTGGTGTCTCTAGACTTTTTTTGTCTTTCTTATCGACAAGTCTGCATGACCTTGGACCAGTCCCTTTCAGCCAACCCACCTCACAGGTTTGTTGTTTGTCAGGGGCTGGTAGCCACCAAAAGAAGTCAAGATGGCGGACGGGAGGTCTTTCTGCTTTTTTTTTTAATATGTGTTGTATCCTGCTACTGCATATATTTGTTTATATTTGGACGGCATTTGTAAACCGGTGCCTATACCCGAGCTGCTTTTGACAGCCGAGTTAAGCATTCGGCAGGGAATTACTCTGAATTTCACTTAAAAATACTTCTTATATATACATGCGACAGGAAGCGAAAGAGGCTGTTTCTAAAGTGAAATTAGACAATGGAAGCAATTTCATTTTTTATGCATGTGAATGTAGGGTGCTTGAGGTTATTAGTTGAAACGAGTAACCTTTCCAAGCCTTCTGCCTCTTTTCGAATTTGAATATGAAAAGCATATTCAAGTCAAAGACCATCACTTTAATGACATTTGGCAGTCATTTGATTTATTAGGTTTTTACGAAAAGAAAATTCCTTTAAATATTTCATCATACTATGCTAATCCTGGTAATATTGCCAGCTGAAGCTGTGTACCTGCATTAGCGGAGACAGAACGGTGTGGAATATTTGCTGTCATCCTGGTAAAATTTCCATGAATCTACTGAATAATAAAACAATCTTATTGAAATATTCAGATTTGAGTTTTTAGTTAAGGTGTCTTAGGATACATAATAAAAGAAAATGCCTTTTGAAAACAGTGGGAGTAAGCTAGCTTCATCCAATATTGAAGGAGGTTGACAGCAAGGATATTGTTCTGTAGGAAGGATATATATTTATTTACCGAGGAAATCCTGGGGTGTTTTCAACGGCTTAATTATAGAATAGTCTTCCGAAAAATGTCAGTTGCTATGTCTCACTTGAAAGATGGCATGAATGTTTGGTTTGAAGATAAACCCAGCATAATGGGTTTTGTTTTTTTGTTTTTTACATTGTTTAATTTGGTGACTATTACTGCAAGGTGAGTGATGGAGATAGAAGCCATCGGATTGCTGATGGGAGAAATTGACTTTCAAGTCAAACAGGCACCCTCAAGAGAGAGTTGAGAAGACCTTGACAGCTGAGACCCTCCAAGGTGTTCAGTTTGTTTCTTGAAGAGACAAATCTCTCACCCTTCAAGTGTTCTTCAGCCTAACCTCATTTTGAAATCGCACAGGTTGTGCGTTCTTTGAAAACCACCGAGAGATTCCTTGCGTGCTTGTCTTTTAATATTTAACACGGAGCGCCTTCCACCTCGTGGACAGTGTTATTTTGAGCGAGAACACGTTAAGTGGATAGTGCAATCAACACGCACGTTTTTTGACACCATCAGAGATTTCCTTTTAATCTTCAAAAAAATAATAAAAAATGAAGACATCTTGTAAATGCACGCTCGTGTATTAAAGATGGTGATTTTTTACTACACCCAGAAAAGCTAGCGGTTTCAAGGGCAATCATGTTGCATGATGATCCAAGAAGATGTACTTTGTAGGGTGAAAGGTGTGGTGGTTACACCAGAGAGAGTAGTCCCCCAGACATAGGTTGGTTTCATGTTTAGTGGATGTACCATTTAGCAAATGGCGGAAAGAAGTGTAAATGGCGGATCCAAATGGAAGAAAGAAGTGTAAAGGGAGGTCATAATTAAAAAAGAAAAAAATAATTATTTATTATAGGTCACATAAAACATAAGTGGGTTGCCTCTTGCAAAGACTGTAGGAATCCCCAAATCAAGAGTCCTTTGCAGCTTTGTCACCCAAGACCTGTGTGACATGTCTGCTTGTGGAACATTGATGGTGATGATGATGTTATCCATTCAGTTGTGTTCGACTCTTGACATTTCTGAATCAGAATCAGAAGAGAGCTGGAAGGGACCTTGGAGATCTTCTAGTCCAGCCTCCTGCTCAAGCAGGAGACCTTATACCATTTCAGACATGTGGCTTAAAAACCTCGAGTGATGGAGCGCCCACGATTTCTGGAGTCAAGCTGTTCCACTGGTTAATAGTCCTCACTGTCAGGAAGTTTCTCCTTAATTCCAGGTTGCTTCTCTCCTTGATCAGTTTCCATTTATTGTTTTTTGTCCTGCCTTCTGGTGCTTTGGAAAACAAGTTGATCCCCTCGTCCTTGTGGCAGCCCCTCAAATACTGGAATACTGCTATCATGTCCCCTCTAGTCCTTCTTTTCTCTAGACTGGCCAGGTCTAGAGAGACCTTCTGTGGGGCTAGGTCTCTCCCCATCTTCCGATCTTGCACTGCTTCTTTGAGTTGTTCTTTGCTCTGGCTGGGGTCGGCTTTGATGGTGTCCAGCCTCCGTGTTCTTTGACAGCCTGGTTTCTTTTTACTGCTATCTCTTCCAAATATAATTGCTTTCTCTGGTGAATTCCCCAGCATGACATGGCCCAAGTAAGTGAGACGGTGGTGTGTTACAATCAGCAACGGTCCTGTTGTTTGTCTTTAACCAGACTGCGGAAAGAATCCGAATCGAAATAGTGTCGCTCAGCCTCACGGACCGCCAGATTTTGATGGATGAGATGATCCAGCAGCTTTTCATAGAGTCCAAGTTCTCCAGTTTCAAAACAACCGAAACTCGCGTGGCGCTACCAAAACCCAGAAGCGGGCAACGGGTGTATTATAACTACAGCCATGGTAGGAATTCATTTAATACTTATTTCATTTCATCTTTCTAAATCACTGATTTTGTGTCTTCTTCTTCTTCTTCTTCTTCTTCTTCTTCTTCTTCTTCTTCTTCTTCTTCTTCTTCTTCTTCTTCTTCTTCTTCTTCTTCTTCTTCTTCTTCTTCTTCTTCTTCTTCTTCTTCTTCTTCTTCTTCTTCTTCTTCTTCTTCTTCTTCTTTTCTACTTCTTCTTCCTCTTCCTCTTCCCCTCCTCCTCCTCCTCCTCCTCCTCCTCCTCCTTCTTCTTCTTCTTCCCGTAATAGATTTTATTGAAAAGTTCTTATCAGGGTTTCATACACACAAACACAATCCTCCCCTCCCTGATAGCCAAGTATAAACTTTAGAGATAACTTGATGTCCACCTTAGGGGAAAATAAGCAGTTGGAATTTGCAAATCAGTGGCTCCAGTTTGAAGGCCAATGTGATTTTTCATAAGAGATTAAATGTCCCTCCTTGTAGATTGTGAAATTTTAGATACTGTTGATTAGGACAGGAAGAAGCAGAAAGAATCTAGTGGTGGAGATGGCGTCTTTCAGGTCCCTTAGCATATAGCCCAAAGGAATATGTTACAACAAGAAGAATTTTGAAATAGGATATTTCTGGTCTTCATTAGTTATAAAAATAAAAATAAGAATAAGATAGCAAAACACAAATCGGATAAAACCGGGGCTACTTAAAATGTCCGCAATTGCATGAGTACCAATGCATAATTCCTGGTGTTTATTTATTTTGCTCATTGGCTTATTTATGGACCAAAACTGGATGCAATATTCCAGGTGTGGTCTTACTAAGGATTTATAAAGTGGTATTAATACTTCACGTGATTTTGATTCTGTGCTTCTGTTTATACAACCAGGGATTCTTGCATACAAGTATGTTACAAATCAGTTTTCTAACAAGCTGAATTTTCTCTTGGGAAATATTTTTTCTGCCTTTGCCACGAAGTTAGCAGAGAGAACTCATTTCTAGCAAGGTTGCTTTGCTGTTCCTAGGATATTACTTAAATAACTGGTCATCTAATATTTCCTCTGTGCCTGCTCTCCTTGTAAAGAAACATCATTCCAAAGAAAGTGCCCTAATGAATTTGGTGTTTCATAATGTCGGCAAGAAAGCCAATAATCTAATAGTAATGAAGTCAGAGCGTGCGTGTTTACTATAGCTTTACTCCATTTCTTATTCAGGCCTAATTAGATTTGGGTATGTAGAATATTTGAGGTTAATTGAATATTTTCTTTAATAAAACTGAGATTTACATGATGGGGAAAGGAAGTGTACTTTGAGCTCAGGGAGAAACTAGCAGTCCCACGGATTTTGTATGAAAAAAATAATCACGATAAACTCAGGTGTAATGTGAGAAGTCATTATTTCTTAGTAAATAAATGCCTTTTTTATTGGATTCTTTTATTATATTTATGTCTCAAGCATTGTGGCTGGCTTTTTAAGAAACTGGTTTACATCTTAGCTGAGACAAAGAGCTCTTGTGAAATTCTGCCTTAATAAGCAACCTTTAATATAGCAACTGAGTATTGTTGGGTCCCTAGCCATTTGTTTTTCCTTTCTAATCTATAGATAGAAGGAGGAGAGATTCACAGTTAATAAATTAAATGTTCTTAGTAAATCATAATACTATAATGGGTCCAAGCTTGTCTGTTAATTAGGGACATCATTTTGCATATAGCTTTATTCATGTTAAAAAAATCTGCCTAAAGAATTATGTAAAGAAGATGGACAGTGGGTTTCAGAAAGGAACATTTGGATATTTTCCAAAAATTGAAGAACTGCAGTTTCCAAGCTCTCCTATCATTGACACAAGAAGAGATAGAACATCAAAACTTGGAAGTTGGGACATATGGTAGGACTTGCCTCTGACAGTTACTTATTAATAAAAGCATATAGGCAGATGGTCTATGATACTAGTGGTGTGAGCTTAGTTGTTTTCTTGGAGACGTTTCATTATCCACGTAGGTGACATCATCAGTACTTAGAAGGTGCTTCTAGCACTGATGATGTCACCTAGTTGGGTGATGAAATATCTGCAAGAAAACAACCAACCTCAGAGAGCACCAAGGACTTCCCAGAGAAGAATGCTATTACCTGCTTGCCTACATTGCCATTTGCCTCTAGATAAGTAAATTGGTAGTATTTTCCTACACAGATAACATAAACTCTGACTCTTATTTCCCCTTTCCCTGCAAAGCCCTTCTACTTATGACCTGTTGACATATCAAATAGTACTTCGAGAATAAAATATATTTTTTTAAAAAAAAAATCTTTGAGAAGGCATTAATAAGCACACAGACATCATACTAATCATTTTCAACCCGAACTCAACAATACTTTTTAATTCTCAAGAGTCAAACATTAGGGGTGTAAGCAGCTTCGTTCACTCAGATGATATAAAGAGCGACACACAAATGGGACATGCTTAATTTCACCTGGAACAATATGATTCCCTTCTGCCCCTGGTCCCTCAGTCTCGTTTTCCCTTTCTCCCTCTTTGGACTAAACCACCCTAATTGAAATAAGAAAGATTAAATTCACTTGATAGATTCTGATAACAAGGAAATAGCATTGATATTTCATAGAGCTGAAAGAATATTGTCCCAACTATGCTGAGAAAGCAGGAAAACAGCCTGGAAACAAGATTAATGGGCCTAAAGAATGTTATCTTGGCTGTGTATAAACCTGCTTGCGAAATGACAATCGGGTAAGATTAATGAAATATTCCCAAACTTTTCTTTCTTTTTTTTTTTTAAGGAGACTTACATAGAGTTAATCAGAAGCCTTGAGCTTTGAGGAATGAATAGCGGTTGAGTACCCTTTGGATTCAGAGTAGTATGATGGAAGAAAGTTTCTTTCCACGTACAGTTATTCCTTGACTTACGACCACGACTGAGCCCAAAATTTCTGTCGCTAAGCGAGACCATAAGTAAATTTTGCCCCATTTTTGCGACTTTTCTTACCACAGGTGTTAAGTTAATCCCTGCAGTCGTTAAATTAGTAACCCGGTTGTTAAGTGACTCTGGCTTCCCCCATCGACTTTGCTTGTCAGAAGGTTGCCAAAGGGGATCATGTGACTCCTGGACGCTGCAACAGTCATAGGTACATGCCAGTTGCCAAGCGTCCGAATTTCGATCACGTGACATGGGGATGTCACAATGGTCCTAAGTGTGAAAAACGGTCACAAGTCCCTTTTTTTATTGCTGTTGTAACTTTGAATTGTCACTAAATGAACTGCTGTGATTCGAGGACCGCCTGTAGAGACTACAGGAATTATGTCAAGTTTGTTTCTAGGATTTGATTCAGAAAAAAAAAAGATAAGACCACAAACCTTGTTTGGACCGATTTTGGCACAACTGTTTATCCGGGAGGCGTAGCAGCTTTTGCAAGAAATCTAGTTCGACTATTGTTAGTGAGTTAGACCTCAGTTCCCACGACCACGCCTGAGAGTATGTGTGTTACATCTTCTCTGTTCCATCTGGGGAGCTCCAAGTTGGAGAAGAGTAATGGATAGGTAAGGAATGGACATTGTGGGGAATTCTGGGAGTTGAGGTCCACACCCACCTGCCAAGGTGGGACAGCCCTGACGTAAATCAAAGTCCCCCTCCCTCAAAAACCGTAGACATGGCCAGTGGTGGGATTCAGCCAGTTCACACCAGTTCGGCAGAACCGGTAGCTATTTTTTTTGTTGACCAGGCCCAGAATGGACTTCTGGAAGTGGCATCCACACAGAGAACCAGTTGTTCACATAGTTGAGTCCCACCACTGGACGTGGCCCTCAACCACCAAAACATCACCTGCTCTGCCTAAGTCAAAATTGCTATTCCTGGAGTTTCAGAAGCCTACGTGGAGAGCGTTGGACATTATTTTTGGATGATGTGCATTGCTAGAACATCCAAGCTTTGGGCACCAAATAAATGTAAGGCCAAGACAAAACTCAACCCCAGCTCAACCTTTCTGATAGCTTATTTGTCAGTCAAGGTAGCTGCAGTCCATGAATCTTTTTTCATTTTGATTCGCTTGATTTCAAAAGATGTTCAGAAGAGTCTGGAAGATCTTTTAAAAGTCCTGAGACTCTTATGTGAGGGCAGATGATCTTCACTCAATATCTCACATCAAGAACAGCCCAGCAAAGGGGTCCGGGATTGAAATAATCCTTTTTCTCCCTTCAACTGAACAGCGGGTCCCTTTGAGCAGTTATCAAAACCACGAGGAAAGACCTCCGCGTTGAGGATTCAGAGCCATCTGGTTTTTTTTATATATATATATAAAATTCCACCTTTTCTGGAAATATTTGTCTGTCTGAGAATAAAGCCGGCTCATCTGCCCTCCACATTCTGCCTTCTAGAATTGGCTTCCAGTCTTTATTCCCATTTTATGTTGCGCATCTTGTACCAGATGGGAACTCTATGTGCGTATAAGTCATTGCAAAAGAATGCTTGGCCTTATGCTATCGTTTCTTTGTAGAAACAAAACAAAAAAAAAGGTGAATATGAATCGGAGCAGCATTTTACTTCAGGGTGTTTCAATCAACACCGAGGGATTATTTGAGGTTGCCAAAATCGACACGTAGGATCAGCCTGTGCAAAAGAAGTCAAGTGTCGTAAATGCATTTATTTACTAGCTGGCACTTAATGACTCTTAACTTAACGGTTATTTCTGTTCGATTTTGCAGTAATATATGTGGATCAAGCCAAGCACAAAGCAAGGTGGGATTATCTCAAGGCTGTACTTTGTGGATCTGAGCCCAGACATGGAAGGTAAGGTTTTGAGGAGACACTTTGATTTATATTCTTTGGTAATAATTAGAATAGAATAGAATAGAATAGAATAGAATAGAATAGAATAGAATAGAATAGAATAGAATAGTTGGAAGGGACCTTGGAGGTCTTCTAATCTAACCCCCTGCTTAGGCAGGAAACCCTATACCATTTCAGACAAATGATTGTCCAATCTCTTCTTAAAAACGTCCAGTGTTGGAGCATTCACCGCTTCTGGAGGCAAATTATTCCACTGATTAATTGTCAAGAAATTCCTCCTTAGTTCTAGGTTGCTTCTCTCCTTGATGATTTTCCATCCGTTGCTTCTTGTCTTGCCTTCAGGCGCTTTGGAGAATAGCTTGACTCCCTCTTCTTTGTGGCAGCCCCTGAGATACTGGAACCCTGCTATCATGTCCCGCCTACTCTTTCTTTACTAAACTAGACATACCTAATTCCTGAAACCGTTCATTATAAGTTTCAGCCTCCAGGCCCCTAATCATGTTTATTGCTCTTCTCTGCACTCTTTCTAGAGTCTCAACATCTTTTTTTAATTGCGATAGCAGGGAAAGGAAAAAGGAACCAACGAGGACATAAATACTTGGGAAAACTTGACTTTTGCTTCACTAAGTTCAGATACTCCAGGAGCAACATGTTCAATGTGTTATTTCTATCCGGGTACTTCACAGGAGCGTGGATGCAAGCTGTTTTCGAAAAATGTCATTCTAACGCCCGTGTTTATTCTGAGGAAATGTAAATCCACCCTTCACGGTATCTGAATGCGGCTTACAATTTTCAAAAGCAAAGAACTGTTTTCCTTTTTAATGTCCATCCAGTGTGTGTTGTCTGTGGGTGGAGAGAGAAATTCATTTTAATTTCAAAATCTGTGCTATTTTGATCATAGCTGGAGCAGCTGCTGGTTCAGTTGGTTTCAGAACTGCTGATTAGCTTCACGCACCCTCAGATTGTCCATGTATTCACAGATAAGCAGTTTCAACTAACGGGATATTAGCTGGCAATAAGGCAATAACCTATTCTTTCCTCCATTTTATTTCCAAACTGAGCTTCATATGGTGGCTGGCACATAGGGTTGTTTTTTTTTAATGGAATCCGACAGGAAGTGCCATAAAGTGATCCCTTAAGAGCGGGCACGTCTCACATCTAAAGCACTTTGAAGTTCAGAAAGATTATTATTTTTTTCCCCTTTTCTCATTTCAGCAAACAAGCAAAGGACTTCCAGATTTACTGCATACATTAGTCAGATGAATAACATGCCGGGCCTAGTAAAACTCCAAATAAAGTTGAAGATATCCCAGTAGTCTTATAATCCATGGCACAGAT